AGGGTTCCTTTGGCTGCCTTTCTCGCCCCCCCCCCCCCTTCATTCAGTGGAATTAATGACACTTTACCTGCTTCAAAGTATGGAAACAAGTGAAGCTTAATGCACATTTGTAAAGAATGTTGCTGTGATTTATTAATGTGCTGACATTTCAATGTTTGGTCTGCAGTACCTTAAAACTGTATTATAAATGGGGCCTAAAGTTATTACAGCGATAAGCAATGCGAGACGGATATTAAACACCATAATGTATTTTGGAGAGTTATCATTCAACAGATTATTAGACCATCATAAATACCAAATGCTCTTTTACTTTATCAGAAAGATATAAATCTAATTATAATCTTTTGCCGTGTAGTCAGTTGCAGAGGTCTTACCAGTAGACATGTAGAGATAGACATAGCTTAAAGTCTGTGTGAAAACCCCCCAACTCTGGAAATCCACATCCAGACCAAAGAGAGCCCAAAGGTGCTCTTTTACCTGAACAGGAGGTCACGCACTGGTCACACCCATTAGATCTCATCCAACTTTATTGGACCCTTGGACATAGCACACTGCAGTCCTGCCTAGGACTTCCACTCTCTAACATTTAGATGTGACCTCAGGTCATTGGTGTGAGACGTCCTGCAGAGGACTTACCACTGTTCCTTTCTCTGATTACAGCAGAGAAAAATGATGTGGCTGTCTACGCTAGCACATCATATGTAAATTCCAGTTTATTACAATTTATAGAGTGATGGGCTACTAAAATAGATTCTGTCAACCACCTTTGGCCACAACAGGCAGTATGTTGGTAGACAGATGGGTATTAGTACAGCATGCAGTTTTTTAGTGGAAGATCTATGAAATCTATCAAATGTAATATTGCTGTAACTCCAATTTTGTATAGTTTCTGTATAGCATGAAAAGCTGCAATGCTGTGTCTGCATTCTAACTGAATATGTATTTTCTCCTTAGCTCTCTCTGCATCGGTTGTTTCTCCTCACACTGATCAGTTCCTAGATCTCATTGCCAGTTCTCAAAGCCGACGGCTGGACGATCAGAGAGCCAGTTTCAGCAATCTGCCTGGATTGCTGATCAGCCAGAAGCATAGTAACTCTGTTCTGAGTCACCTGATGGCCAGTGAAAACCGAGAGCCAGATGAAGATTTCTTTGACATGCTGGTGAAATGTCAGGTAGGGAGACTGTTATGTTGTTTCAGTGTTAGTCACAACATTGTGATCAATAATAATATTTGTATTTATTGGTTGATTAATTTATGCTCAAGATCATTACAGGGCAATGGTACAGAAAACAAAGAGGACAATATACACTCACCTTTTGTATGTAGACCTGTAAAAAGTCCCTGTCTTACTGCTTCAATGTTTTCTGTGTTATACAGGAATTCAGAAAGTATTCAGAAATAAACACAAACAAAGGCAAATTAGGAGCGCTACTCTCCGAGGAACTATTGGTTAATGATGGGAGTGATGTGTAATGGAAATGTTAGTGAAAACAAGTAAAAAGACTCACTGTTAGATGGGGGCATAGGAGATCGTCTCGTAGTAGAACCGGGTTGTATTCACATCAATGGAGGCATGACAGGATGTGTAGAATAGGAGCTCACGATCCAGAGTGGAAGGTTTCCCAGAAGTAGCAGATGTAAGTTGCACGAGCTCAGCAGGCCAGGCTGAGCCGTGTCGGCTGTGCGGGAAGTGTTCGTGCTGGTGGGCACTTAAAACCGCTGTACTGTGTGATCAATAGGAAATGAAAAACATAGTGCTGCAGGGAGTCAATGCTGGGTGTTGAATTGTCCTTGGTACCGGCAGGGTGTATATTCTCTGGGCCACCCATTCACCGGCACGAACACTTCCCGCACAGCCGACACAGCTCAGCCTGGCCAGTTGAGCTCGTGCAACTTACATCTGCTACTGCTGGGAAACCTTCCACTCTGGATCGTGAGCTCCTATTCTACACATCCTGTCATGCCTCCATTGATGTGAATACAACCCGGTTCTACTACGAGACGATCTCCTATGCCCCCATCTAACAGTGAGTCCTTTTACCTGTTTTCACTAACATTTCCATTACACATCATTAACCAATAGTTCCTCGGGGTGTAGCGCTCCTAATTTGCCTTTGTTTGTGTTTATTATACATACAGGTTTCCTCTCCCTGTTATAGGAGACCGCACACCCTATACCACCGCTAAATATACAATCTAAACCAAAGCAATTAAATTCCTTCCACCTTACTAGTAGTAGTGTGCTTATCCTTTTTTGCATTATAGAAAGTATTCAGACCCCTTCACTTTTTTTTATTTTGTTATGGTGCAGCCTGATACTACAGTTGTTTAAATTCTTGTCTTTTGTTTCTCATTAATCTACACACAGTGCCCCATAATGACAAAGTGAAAACAGAATTTTAGAAATGTTTGCAAATGTATGAAAAAGGAAAAACTGAAATAGCCATTGGCATAGGTATTCAGACCCTTTGCAACAACACTTGAAATTTTGTCTCGGGTGCCTCCCATTTTTCTTGATTATTGCTGAGATGTTTCTACACAATGACTCGAGTCCACGTGTGGTACATTACATTTGATTGGACATGATTCGGGAAGGCCTCACAGCTGACAATGCATACTGTATCAGAGCAAAAGCCATGAGGTCAAAGGAACTGCCTGCAGAGCTCCGAGACAGGATTATTGCAAGGCACAGATGTGGGGAAGGCTACAAAAAAAATTCTGCTGCATTGAGGGTTCCCCAGAGCACAGTGACCTCCATAATTCTCAAATGTACGACGTTTGGCACAACCAGGACTCTTCCAAGAGCTGGTCACCCAGCCAAACTAAGCAATTGGGGGAGAAGGGCCTTAGTAAGAGAGGTGTCCAAGAACCCGATGGTCACTCTGAATGAGCTTCAGAGATCCTATGTGGAGATGGGACAAAGTTCCAGAAGGACAAACATCACTACAGTCCTCCACCGATCTGGCCTTTATGGCAGAGTGGCTAGACGGAAGCCCATCCTCAGTGCAAAACACATGAAAGCCTGTTTGGAGTTTGCAAAAAAGCACCTGCAGGACTGTGACTGTGAGGAACAAGATTCTCTGGTCTGATGAAACCAAGATTGAACTGTTTGGCCTCAATTCTAAACGTTATATCTGGAGGAAGCTGATCACTGCTCATCACCTGCCTACTACCATCCCAACAGTGAAGCCTGGTGGTGGCAGAAACATGCCGTGGGGGTGTTTTTCAGGAGCAGGGACTGGAAGACTCGTCAGGGTTGAGGGAAAGCTGAATGGAACAAAGTACAGAGATATCCTCAGTGAAAACCTGTTCTACAGATCTCAGGGCCTCAGACTGGGCCGAAGGTTCACCTTCCAACATGACAACGGTCCAAAGCACCCATGAATGTGAATGTACTAGAGTGGCCCAGCCAGAGCCTTGACCCTGTTGAACATCTCTGAAGAGACCTGGAAATGACTGTCCACCAGCAGTCCCCATCCAACCTGACTGAGCTTGAGAGGATTTGCAAAGAAGAATGGCAGAAAGTCCCCCAATCCAGGTGTGCAAAGCTTGTCGCGTCATACCCAAAAAGACTTGAGGCTGTAATTGCTGACAAAGGTGCTTCAACAAAGTGCTGAGTAAAGGGTCTGAATACTTATGTACATTTCATGTGATATTTTAGTTTAGTTTTTTAAAGAAATTTACAGACATTTCTAAAATTCTGTTTTCACGTTGTCACTGGGGGGTGCTGAGTGTAGATTAATGAGAAAACAAAAAAGAATTGAAACAACTGTAGTATCAGGCTGCAACATGACAACATTGAGAAAAGTGAAGGGGGTCTGAATACTTTCTGAATGCCTGTATATCATAGACCTGTGAGAGGTCTGCAATCTAGTTGAGATTACAGTGTAGGATTTTGGACTGAGACATAAGTGGATAATGAACAACACATATAATAATAACAATAGTAAGACCTGAACCCAGTTTGGGCCTATGTTAGTAAAACTGTACATATCTTTGGAACTACTTGGTGTATCTAGGTGGATTTTTTTTGTTTTTTTGTTTTTTGAAATCTTTGTTCTGATTCAGTGATCATCATTCTTGTTGTTACAGGGTTCTCGCTTAGATGATCAACGTTGTGCCCCTCCTCCGCCACCCAAGAAATGTCCCACTGTCCCAGATGAAGACTTCTTCAGTCTTATTCAACGCGCACAAGCCAAGCGCATGGACGAGCAAAGAGTGACATTGTCATCCTACCCTAAAAGACCCAATACAAGCTAGGGCATACTGCCATGTGTGGTCTATTCCATTCTCCTTTTCTGGGCTAACCCATTCCCAGCCACATTGTGTTAGCAGAGCTAAAATAAGACGGGTTCCTCATCCTAGTACTGTAATTTCTACTTGGATTCATGGCATAGTTTTACTCCAGACACACTCTGATTTATGATTGTATCATTCTAATGCCTACAACATTGCCATTATGTACTGTATTTTGCTCTCCTTTGGGAGAAATGCACCTTTGGGTCATCAGTACAGATTTGGCATCAATGTACATGCCTTTGCAAGGCTTCCATGACTACATAGTATACATTGTGTGGTGATTTACTACGGGAGTCATTTTTTTCACTTAACCGATCATGATTTCCTTTTTTTTAATCTATCATTGGCAGGGGAGTGAAAATAATGGTTTACCCTGCACCTGATTGGCTGTTTGAAGGGAACACGTTTACTGGCCAAAGTCAAAATAAATAACATGCTTGTTAACGCAAGCCCACAGGTACAATTCTATAAAGCTAAAAAGACAGTAGTATCATTTTTATGTATTTATTTTACTTTGTTCACCTCATCCCCCTTAAATGCTGCCTACCCAGTCTGTATACTAAGGCCCCATTCACACAGGGCGTTCTGGGATTCCTACAGCAAGAACCTACAGGTTCCCGGGGCAGGAATACCAGGTGTCCCATTCAGAGGCATACGTGGTGCAATTAGATGCAGTTTGGAATACATGATTGTCATTGGACACATCTATCCTGCATTCAGCGACAGTCATCTATCCCACCCTACATGTAATTGTACCATGTACGATTAAATGCGGGCGACCACTGTCACCCTGTCATTAGCTTCAATGGGTACAGTGGGTGCATCTGAACTGGGATAACTGGCATTCTTGCCGTAGGAATCCCAGAAGTCCCAGTGTAAAGGGAGCCTTACATTCAGCCCTGATCCAACATTCTTTACTATGCAGCCCTGCTCTGAGGCACACGGCCTTATAGCTGAAAATGGCTGTTTTCTATAGTACATATGCGTCACAGCCCAATTGATTCCTATGGATAAGACATACTTCAAGGGACGTTTTAGGCCACCATGAGTAAAGTCTTTCCATTGGAATGAAGGGGTCTGCGGCACATGCAGAGTACAAAGTGGTCGTATTCCAAGGAAAGGCTGTGTGACTCAGAGCAGGGCCACACATTGAAGATCACTGGATCAGAGCTGAATGTAAGTGGAAGTTCCCCCCAGGCCCATAAGATCGAAGTTTAACACAAAAACTCCAGTTGTACTTTTTCCTAATTTCACAAAGGGGATTACCTACCATTCTGAATGCTAATACCAGATGTGGTACCATAAAACTGTATGGAAAGGTCTAACGCCTCCATAGTAGTAGTCTCTGCCTGGGCAGAGAGGCCTATGGAGTAGAGCAGGAAAAGACGCTATTGGAGACGAAGGTTATTGAAGCTTTCTGTAGTTAAGTACAATTCAATGGGAAGAAATGGCGGTTCCAAACCCGTGTGATAGTTGGCTTTGTGAATTGAGCGTTTGCATGAGAAACATATTAAGTAAAAATAAGATGTGTTAACGTATTTGTGAACTGACCCTTCTGCCTCCATTCTACCACTGTAAGATGACCTCGAAAAAGACCACTGCTGTGAAACCTGTGTCCCCGTAGCTGGTGGGATGCAAATCTTAAGATAGCCATACACCTTACAATCTTTTGTGTTACCAAACCATGTGACCTGTAGGTCTACCTTAATCATACGTTCAGTTTGTTTCCTATGGGACTCCCTCGCACTACATATCCACGCCTCTATGAATAAGCTGTTACTGAGTGAGATGCGTCAGACGCAGCAGCTCAGGTGCATCAAAATACACAGCGACAAGCAGTTTGGAGTGTGGCGCAATTTGTTTTTTGTTTGTACCTCAAACTAATTAGATGTTGGTTGATCTGAAGGAATTATACAATCAGATTGTAATATGTATGGCCAGCTTTTCTTCCATGATTGTTCCATTCTGAAGATCTTTACCACCAGGTCCAGCTTTACAGGTTCATAGGCCTGCTTCTCATGTACCGTCCCTTGATGAATGCACTTCTCTTCTAAGCAGTCTTTCTGAACCAAAGTAATACATACTGGGGGGAATTTATCAAAACGGGAGCAGCTGTGCACGCCAACCAATCAGCTTCTCTCTTTCATTTTCAAATGTTAACTGAAGAGAGAAGCTGATTGGTTGACGTGCACAGCTGCTCTAGATTTTCTCTGCTCCAGTTTTGATAAATCCCCTCCCCCACTGTATATATGTACAAACATATAAACATGCCTTTACAAACAACAAAACGTAAGTTAAAAGATCCAGTTGGGTGGGTGCAAGGGTTAATGCGGAGAGGTATTAGTACCCGTTTGTCTGTCTAGTCCATAATCTGAAGCACTACAGTTGTTCATAGTGATGTAAATAGTTTTTTAATGTACAATATTAGAGCCTTGCTGTGCTCAGTAGGGGCCTCTTGTGGCAGAAGTGTGGTACTGAATGAATGTTGGAAGATTGCCATCCGGGCACATTTGCTCCATCTCATAGGGCTATTCTTATTTAGAAAATGGTACTATTAATGTTGTGTCTGATTTATATGTTTTGTTTCTATTTTACCGTTGTGTTTTTTATTTTAGTTTATCAGATGTGTAAAATAATATTTTTAGGAATTTTTAAGATTGTAAAAAAAACAAAAACTTGATTTTCTTACACCACTAATTCCGTGCACATTGTTTTGAGGTGTTTTAAAATGTACATTATTCAAACAAGCCATGTGAGATGCTTCAGAAATTAAATTCTAGAGCAGAATGCTAATTCTTAACAGCCCTGGTCTGAGTGGTATTTCTTTCCTGGTCTAGCGTGAACTACCGGATATAAATATATGTGAGGGGTCCCTACCACTGCATGTTACTATAGGAAGATGTATACCACCGCCCGTATCACTTGAATTGGCACATAGTAGATAACGCAGAGCTACACCTGCCTGTAATATAATATTGACTCATAGCTATGAAGCCTATTTTTGATTTTGGTGTCATTGAGCATTGCAGTGTATTGCTGTACACTTTCCCACCTGATACTAGCAGTATACTACACACAATATTGCATCTTTTCTAAACCTTTCCTATGTTGTCCTACAGGTTCTAATGAGATAACAGTGAATCTGGTTTAAAAAAAAAGAGCGCTTTCCTTCCATAGATAACATTAGCGCTCATTCACACTAGTCTACTTTGGCGTGTTAAGGCAGCCCAGTCATTTGCAGTTCAGGGGCAATGTTGTGTATATAAGTGGCATGGTAAGCCGGGGTTCAAGGTTTTCTGCTATACAATAATTGTTAGCAGATAGCAGCAGTTAAAGTGGAAAACAGAACAGTGAAATCACTGAAACAGGAGCCGAGGTAAGTCATAGACTTGGTCCGCTCTCATTGGGGGTGAGCGCAAGTATTAATATTAGAAGATTTTAACATAAACACACATAATAGAAGTCAATAGATTGTAAGCGTTCATTTGCCCACCTAACCCTCCTGTATTGAAATTATAACTGTACTGTCTCAATCCATTTTATAAAGCATTTTGTAACTTGTTAGTCGTATATTAATCCTGTATAATTATTAGAGGTGCACCGAAATGGGAATTTTAAAACCCGAAATAAAATAAATTGTCAGGCCGAAACCGATACCGAAAATGTTTTTATTTTAATTTTAAAAAATCTTTTTAATATTTTATTTTTTATAAACTTTAATTTTTTGATATTCATTTTTTTATTGATAACTTGAGGACAGAGTATGTTTACTATAACTACAATTATGAATGAAAAGGAGGTGATGCAGATCGCTCCCATTCATTCATAATTGAGGATATAGTTAACATACCCTATCCTCAATTATCTACAAAGACTTAGCGATCACTGATCACTGAGTGTTTGTGCTCGCTCTCCTCTCTGACACGCTGTCACAGCAGGCTGATCGAGCGGAGCAGGGAGGTGAGCCCAGCCTCCTGTGACAGCGCTGGCTGTCTCCGCCCACACCGCTCTGCCGGACTGTGATAAGCGGCCGAGCGGTGTGTGGGAGGAGAGACGCCGGCCGCTCACAGCGCTCTTGTCCCGCAGCGCTCTTTTCCCGGAACGCAGATCGGCGCCCTGCGGGGAGGAAAGCAACCAGGGATGCACCGATGTATTGGCAGAAAAACATGGCTCTTTCGGCATTATGCAAAAAATTCCATGTTCGGCCGATATATCGGTGCATCCCTAATAATTATAGTATAATTTTTTAAAGCAGAACTCCACCATAAAAAATAAAATATAATGTATATCCCAATAAAAGATGAAATCACACTTTTCTGCAATATTCTCATTCAATCCAGAGATTGCCCCTGCAGTACATTAGTAGGACGCTAGGCACAAAACGTGAATGCACTGCCCTTGCCGCAGCCCCTGCTGGCAACTCAACTCCCCACTATATAGAGGCAGCTCAGTTTTTTGCGTAGTGTCGAGGAGCGTGGACCTAGTTCCCTGTTGGGATGTTCATAACAGTTTGTTTTTTTTCCTGTTCTTCAGCAATGATCTTCAATCAAAAGCCGAGCTGGGTGACAGTCTGGATATCCTAGAACAGCGGTGGCGAACCTATGGCACGCCTGCCACAGAGGGCACGCAGAGGCCCCTCTGTTGGCACGCGAGCCTTGGTCCCGGTTACAGTGACCCGCACACTCCAGGTGCAGGTCACTGTAAAGTCATGTTAAGTTTTTAAAGATGGCCGCTGCGAATCGCGGCGGCCATCTTTAAACCTGGCAGGTGCCCAGATTCTGTATAATATATTGCCGAACCAGCAATATAATAAATCGGGGGTGCCCATTAGGTAGATTGCGATGTCCTGTCCTCCTGACGTGGGGCTTCTCTGGATCCCCGCTGCTCTCCCCCATCTGTATGCGGCGGGGATCCCTCTGAGTGTTTGTGCTCGCTCTCCTCTCTGACACGCTGTCACAGGAGGCTGATCGAGCGGAGCAGGGAGGTGAGCCCAG